CACGTCGATACCTTGTACGATGCTCTTGAGAGTTCGCCACTGTCCCCGCGCGTGTCGTCGATGCCCCCATGCGTGTCCCCTTTCCGGTATCTACAAGATCAAGGGTGTCGGTGATGTTCTCACTGGCCGTGTTGAGCAGGGTGTTGTCAAGCCCAACGAGGATGTCATCTTCATGCCCACTCATACCCCCGCTACTCCCTGCAGCGGCAAGGTCTTCACCATTGAGATGCATCACAAGCGTGAGGAGCAGGCTCTTCCCGGTGATAACGTCGGTCTCAACGTTAAGGGTCTCAACAAGGATAACATGCCCCGCGTTGGTGATTGCATGATCTCCAAGGCTGATAAGACTCTTCAGCACGTCGGTAACTTCACCGCCCAGGTCCAGATCTTGGATGTCCCCGGTGAGATCAAGGTCGGTTACTCTCCCATCGCCTTCGTCCGTACTGGTCGTTCCGCTTGCAAGCTTACCAAGATCAACTGGAAGGTCGGTAAGGAGACCGGTGGTAAGAAGATGGAGGATCCCCACTCCTTGAAGTCTAACGAGATGGCTGAGGTCGTCTTCGAGCCTCTTCAGCACCTTGTTGTCGACTCCTTCAAGCACTGCGAGGGTCTCTCTCGTGTTGCTCTTATGGAGGGTAACGGTGTTGTCATGCTTGGTAAGTGTGTCGCCACCAGCGCCAAGGATGTCAAGTAAGGACTCAACGTGAATCAGTTGATTACCAGTAAATAGTTCACCATTGTCTAGCAGCTATGAGAAAGATTCTTGTGGTTACGTAGCTGACGAATACGTCTTGCCTATTATAAACCTGGGATTCTTTCAACGGAAGACCGCCACATGGCAGGTGTGTAGTTCGTCAATTGAGGGTTTGAGTTTTCGGTTTTACTTTTATCAATAACTTTATCAGTGTGCCAACTGCCATAACGAGCGACTTTTAGGGTTATCTGATCACATGAGTTTGGAGTATTCGTTGACACAGGATTGCATAGCATGCAATGCACGCCTTTTGGAGACCGCCTTCTGAACTTCCAATTTCGCCGTAAATTCAATCCTGAGGCATTCTGCTTCTTGCTAATTGGCTCTTCCAATTCCATGCTTCGAGGAAAACAGTACTTTGAACTTGCTGGATAATCATTTCACTAGCAGATGATACTGAATGAGTGGTCTTAAGTGATCAGCTTACTTTAGGTCCATTACGGTTCATAAACCGTCACATCGTCGTGAATAGTTGCCGTACTCAACGAACTAATGGTATGTCTATCGGCATTGTTGATTGCATCGTTCACATGAGTGGTGTGGTATGACATCGGTATTATCCCTCGATGCCTTGATTTTTTTGGCTTCTTCAAAGATGCAACCTCTGGCATAGGTGCCCCGCGGGCACGAAATGGAATTAAAACAACAGAATTGAAGATGTCAATGGTATTGATACCTTTTTTTTTAAGTGTTAACTAGTTAACACAAGTTAAATACCGATACGGAGGGCGCGTCACACAGTGCGTCTCCGTCACACACGTGCATATCATCCGCGGTGCGTCCTCCACCCTTATCCAGGGTGCGTCGTGAAACGACCTGTGCAGGCGAACGTCGCCGCAGCTTTACAGAACCAGACGGCATATGCCGTGTATAATTTCTTTCAAGCCTCGAGCATGAGAGGCGCAGTAATCTCTAGGCCCTCGATCTAGAGTGGTCCGACTACGTCGGTGGACTCAAGGGCCAGAGGAACCCTATCTACAGGCTTCCGACGGTTCGAAGGTTCCCACTGACTTTTCTGGACCCAAAGCCGCAGCAATGCGGCCCGGCCTATCTCAAGCGGCAGTTGCCTGCGCCGAGTGGGTTGTGGCGGTGCGGCTACTGGGGTGGCGAGCTTCGCCCTCTATTGCGATTTTCCTCGGGTGCGCCATCTAGTTTCATCTCGGACTTTGTTCGCTGCAATGCCCTCTACTGCAAAGAGCTGTAACTCAGACGGCACGCTTGGCGGCGGCCCAGTGGGCCGGGCCCACTCCCTCTCGGCTGAGGCGCCCACGTCGACGATCAGGCCAAGGTCATCAAGCCCGACGGCGCAGCCGCGACTATGCGGCATTGTAAGTCCCTGTATACCTCCAGCGAGGGTAGGGCAGCTGTACTCATGCAGCTATTGTAAACCCCTGTATGTCTCAAGCGAGGACAGGGAGGCCGCGGCTTTGCGGCTGACTAAGGCCCTGTATACCTCCAGCGAGGGTAGGGCAGCTGCACGGTGCAGCATTGCGAGCCCGTGTATGCTTCCAAGCTCTAGGTCCTAGAGCGGTCCGTTTAATTCG